AGGCTGGAGAAGTAGTGCTGGCCGGCATGCTCGCTCCAGCAGGCGGAGGGCGCGGGCGCGGCGCTGGGCGAGGGCCCCGGGTCTGCAGCGAGAGGGGGCGCGGCGTCAGCGCCAAGCCCGGGCAACCGCGCCCCCACTTGCCTCCGGCCCTGCAGGTCAGACTGGGGTGCTGATCCCTGCGAGGAAGGGTGTGGCGGGGATCCCCCAAGTGCCAGGGCCCTAGGTGAGGTTTCCTGGGGGCAGCCCACCTCCTTGGATAACTGTGGGCATGGTGGAGGCGCAGCGCACACATGGCGTATGCTGGACATCCCCACACCCCACTAGCCAGCGCTCCCCACTAGCCAGCGCTGCCTGCCCTCCACAGCTGTGTGAGCCTTCACCTTGTACAGCTCTGGGGAGTCCAACCTTGCTGCTTCTGAACACCCCTTCCCCTTGCCAGGAGTCACCGGGGACCTAGACGCCTAGGGGCTGCCACTCGGTTCCTGACAGTGCCCCAGCTGCCTATGATTGGCGCAGCCACGCTGGAGAGGGGGCACGCTTAAGGCTACGGGCCAGGGGGCCTGGTGCTATTGCGTCTGGCTAGCTATTCTGGATGGCCCCTGCCTGTCTCTGGAGCTATCACACTGGGCAGGTGGGGTGTCTTACCGGGTGGGGGACCCTGGGCCCGCACGTAGCTGCGTAAGGTGATGTCGGCAGAGCCCCCTGACTCCAGTGGGATGGGGTGCGTGTGGAAGTGGCGCAGCATGTCAAGCACGGACTGGAACCACAGGTGCTGCACGTGGCACTGGCCGTGGCCATTCAGGGACAGGCGTAGGTGCTGCGGGCACAAGTGGGCAAGGTCAGCACCAGGGCCCTGGGCTAGCCACTAGCTTGGCAAGTGCCCTGGGGCTTGGTTGGAGGACCCAGTTTGGTAGAAGCAATATAGAACTGTGAGAGAGCCTCAGGTCCCTTGCAGGCGAGCCCCATCTGGGGGTGAGGAATGACAAGGCCAAGCAGGAGCTGAAGGTAGCACCCGCCCCTGTCTGGGTCCTTTATACTTCTCCCTATCCCAACTCAAAGGCTCAGGTGGGGATCTCTGCCCTCATATTAGAGAAGGGGAAACTAAGGCCTAAGGAGGGGGAGTGACTCTTCCAGCTCAACACATAGCTGGGAAGAGAACACATTCGTGTGACCAGCCCCGCAAACACACACACACCAGCCGGGCCCAGCCCAGCAGGCTAGGGGTCTGCCCTCTGAATCTTGCAGGACCCAGAGGGGTAGGAAGCACACCAGGGGCTGAATGGGGAGGAATGACTGTACATGCTCCTTCCCTGTGCTGTAGGGGGAGCTCATGGGGCTGGCTAGCTCCTCTCTGGGTCTCCAGAGCCCCCTGAGGCTGTAGCCTAGGGGTGCGGAGCAGCAGGTCTCTGGCTTCAGCCCTGTTTGGCTCACCATGCATCCCACAGGAGGAAGAGTGGCTCTTTGGGGTGTGTGGCAGGAAGGGAGCCTATTGGAGGGGTCTGTGGGTATGCATAGGACCACAAACAGGAGAGGGAGCTGGCCTGGCTGCCTTCATAAAGGACAGTAAAGTCCTAGGTGATCCCATGAACGAGTTCTGCCATGCAACAGGCCAAGGAGTTACCAGGAACCGTATGAGCAGACCTGGGCAGCATTACACAGGGACTCAGCCAAAAGGAGCAGCAGAGGGGGGGCCCACCACAGCCTCAGATCTGGGCGGGCCTTCAGGGGCAGGGCTGGGTGCTGGAGCAGGTGGAAAGCAAGGCAGGTCGTCTCAATCTTTTGGAAAAACCTTCCAGACCTTTATTAGCTGAAGTGAAAAGAGCTGTGTGAGCAGAGGCTGCAGTTTCTGCCCTACCACTATTGGGCCTTGGGCAGCCACCCCTACTCTGGCAGGACAGCTCCCTGGGTGAGCTGTTCAAGGCAGGTTCAAGACTGGGCCTTGCCCCAGGAAGGAGAGAAGCCTCTGCGGCCCTGCTCCCCAGCAGCCCATATTCCCGGTGGGCTGGGTGCCATCAAGCTCTGACTTGGGCATGTGTCAGATCCAGGTCCTCCAGCGACGTTGCCTGGGGCAGGACTGGCCAAAAAGTAAACTTGGAGCTGCCAGGGATGCCAGGCGCATCAAGTGCCTGGTTGTCAGAGGAGCCTGTGAGGGCGGCTGCTTTCCGGGGTGGCGTCCCGGGGAGGTGCTACCTCCTCCATGTGGGGCCAAGGAGAGGACAGGAGCCAGCAGCACTGGGCCAGCTGGAGCTTAGAACAGCTGGGGGCCCTGCAGACAGACACGGACCATGCAGGCCTGGAGCGGGAATCCTGGGGTGACCCTCCTCTTGCGGGGACTGACGGGAAATGTGTCCTGTGAGGAGCTCGGACTAGGTCTATTTCCTTATCGGAAACGTGGGATCGGGCAGGAAGGTGCACTGAGGCCCCTGCCCACTCTGGCCACACTGTCACCCTCCCCCTCCCCCCTTCCAAATAATCATCCACTAGACTTTCCTGTCCCGTTTCCTGTGCTCCACAGGTCATTAGAGCACACAGCTCCCTTCCTTGAGGGTACACCCTCCGGGTTCTTTTGCTGCACGCCCCCCCCCCCAACTCTATCTGGAATGCACTTCTCGCCTGCCTCCAACTCAATAAATCTCCCTCCCCAGCATGTGTCAGATCATAGCATGTGACCAGCATGTGCCACCTCTGACCCCCCAGACCCTGCACAGCCCTGCTGCTCTGCCCAGCCCCTCCTCTCCGGCCCAGCTCTCCGGGTCACATCTACACTTGCTTCCCTTCCAAGTCCCTTGTCTGAGTACAGGCTTTGTGAACAGACCTGAGCAGGGAAGAAGAGGGGCTGTCTGGGGTGGACCAGTCCTGCAACTAGGTGGCTCTAGGTAAAGACCCTCAGAAGCCCCAGTGCTATGTGATCCCCAATGCACCGCAATGATGCATGGTTAGGTTCTTAGAAGGGCCGGGGCTCCTGTAGGCCTGGCCACAAGCAAGTGGCTTCCCATCTGGGGAACAGAGAGGGCTCTGGATGGGGATGACTGCAGCCCCTCAGAGAGGTATGGGAGGGAAGGTGATTCAAGGAGCATGGCCCGGGAGGCCCGGCCCCAGGGGACGTCATGCCAGACCTGCACCCGTGTAGCCTGCTCCGGGGGCCCAGGCCCTCTCCACCTGGGGCTCCCCATGCACACTTGCCTTGGCCTTGCCCTGGAAGTTGAAGGTCAGCACGTACTCCCCAGGCCGGGTCTCGCTTTGGCGGATCACGAAGAGGCCGTGGCTCCGAGGCCCCCCTGCCAGCACCAGCTGAGCTGCTCTGACCCGTGACAGCGTCCCGTGGAACCAAGGGTAGTTGGAGAGCTCCAGCTGGGGCTCAGCCTCGGGGTCTGGCTCTGTTCTCTCCTCCCCTGGGAGCGACGACAGTGTGAGGGGATGGGGGTGGGGGTTAGCCCCTCTAGAGGGCAGAGGCAACATCTTCTGGCTTTTACATGGAAACTGCTGTTTGCAAGGAGTTGACCCCACCCACTAGCTACGCATATAAGGTAAATGGAGGCACTGCCAGCAACACACCTGGGAGGAAATCAAGGCTCCTGTCCCCGACCCTGGGCGCCTCTCTCTGAGCATTTTCTGTTGAGACCAGGTTCAGTGGGGAGGGTCAATTTCCCAGCTAGCCCACGAAAGCCAGAACTACGGCAGAGTTGTGCCAAGGACCCAGTGGATGAGATGTCACAGCTCCTGAGGCTCAGCAAGGGCGCTGGAGGGAGCCCACGGGTGCCATAGCCAGGGGCGGAGCCCAGAGGAGGGGCAGGGAGAGAAGCTCCCTTTGGCACCTGTGTTGTTGCTGTCCCCGCTGCCGCCACCCGGGGAGGATTCCAGGGTCTGTAGGAAGGTCTCCAGTGGGACGTGGGTCAGGGACTCTCCAACAGTGTCTCGAGCTCGGCCGTGTGGGGCGGTCACCACGGCCCCGATGGCTGTCGGTGTCTCTGGGGGCCGGGGCAGGTCCGCTGCTGGAAAGTGGCAGGTAAGAAGCATCTCCCTTTCCCATCCACTCCGAGCATCCGCCCCCTCCAACCCTGTCCCCCACTACTCAGGTCAGTCCTGTCCTGACCTACCCTCTGTCAGGAGCTCACAGCTGCAGGAGGCCACGCGGCTGGCCAGACAGCCTCCCCGGGCACACGAGAGCTCGGCGTCCTCCTCACTGTCACTGTGGTGGTGAGAAAGCACAACCGCGTCCTGCTGTGGGACTTGGACAGGGACCCCAGGCTGCGTACAGAGCCAGGTAGTGGCTGACAGGCCCATGAGCAGCGCCAGTCCTAACCTGCCCTCTGCCGCCAC